GGCACTGTAACTCAGTATATATTTCGAATTCGAAATTTTTGACGCCGCATTCGTTTTCTCCACCCCAAAATTACCTTGACCTGAAAATTTCAGATCGATCGGAGCACTTTTCAAACCCGGGGATATTTAGCGGCCATCCCCGGGTTTTGCGTTTTCATTTTTTAGCCGCCTGATATAGGTAAAGTGTGTTGAAACCCGGGTAAGATGAACGAGTTTGATTTTCAAATTTTGCACAGCATCATCATTATGGCCAAGGATCATGGGATAATTTTTTCGAAGACAGGGGGGGGGATGGTGACGATCCGTTCCCCCCCCCCCCCAAATAAATTCGGCTTTAGCTCGGAACCCGCCTAAAGATGTTTCCTACCATCCATAGACTACGACGACAGCATATTTTCTACGACTACCGCCTACTATAAAGATGCCTTTGATCCGCGCAATAAGCTCCCTCTCGTGTTCTTGCGAACAAAACTTCTGTACAGCATCTGCGCGTACAATTTCTACAATCAATTCCGTGCCGTCGGTGACATGAGCAACACCCGCCCGCTATGCATACATACATATGTACGTACAACATGGTCGCCAACGGTGGATGGCATCATAAATAAAAGCTAATCCTATCCTCTCCGGCAGTACTTGCAAAAGGGGTGTTCCGCGGTAAAGACGAATTGTCTCTCCCGCGGCGAGGAAAAACTCGAATGAAAAACCGTTTTTGGATACATGTCTAAAACGACGTTTAGAAGCATAAAAAAAAAGAGAAACAAAAACAAATGTGATCGGATCGCCTTGATTGTTTTTTTTCACCGCGTTGCCGATTTCGGCGCCTCCATTTCTCCTCGGCAATCGATTCCGCTTGGCCGACTTAGAGGGGGTAGAGCCACTCAGAAAGTAGATCAGACAAAAACTCGACGTGGGAACCGAGAATCCAAAATCCCAGGAATTTTGAAATTGCTCAGCTACTGTCAGCTTTTGAGCAGCTGAAAGTCCATTGCAAATCAAAACTGGGACATTCCAACAATATATTTGTGATCCCCACCCCAAAATTGCCCTAATTCGAAGTCAGGAGAGATTGAATCAACATGTAGAAAGTGTTGCGGGAGGGGGGATATTTCAGTGTAATTCCTAGTAAGTCCAGGTTATCCCTGCTTTCGCGCATATATATCAGTGCGTAGCTGTATCACGGCCTCATCGATCCTGATCGAAATTCTGACGACGGATCCTTGATGTACAACACAACATTACCCTACCTGATATTATATACGATTCGGAGGCGTTTGCAACTTGCTCGGGGGGCCCGCAGACGCGATTTTCACCCAATTTTGGCCACTAATTCATCAAAAAAAGTCATCACCACGACATCCAAATGGAAAAATAAGTATATTTTCGTGATCCTCGTGATCTAACGGATGTTGGTACAAATTTTCAGAGGTTGGGAACCATTTCTTGCTGCTCATTGAAAAACTCGTGGAAACTATTCGTCTTTACCGCGGAACACCCCAAAAGTCTTTTCTCTTGTCCTTCCACCCAATATAGCGCACGCGACAGCAGCAGTCACGTCGTCAAAAGCACACAAACTCGAAAAAGCCTTCACTCAAACAGCAATCACTTCCCTCAACCTACCCTCGCTTTATCTAGGAACCCTTCTTGCCAAACTAATACAGAGTATCAAGCAAGGCACGCGCGAAGTCATTCAAGCATTTCGTTGTACAATTGTAACGATTCCAAGACATAACCAACAACCCTGGTTGTTCCAACCAGTGTCCCTTGCCAAAAGCTGTCGATGGGAGTTCAACAAGGCTCAGAAGGCGTCGGCGGCAAGGAGACAGTTCCATGTGTGTGTTATGACCGCTTTCCGTGCCCTTGAGCAGGGGCACGAAGAGAGGACATGTCGTGCTCCTGCCGAATTAAATGGCATTTTAATGCACACATTTCATAACGCAGTAGCAGATCATGCTTGATTTCCTTGACTACCAATCAATCACGAATGGAACCCATGCAATCTACTATATACTGCTGTACGTGCGTAGATTGCCATTCGACGGCACCACGGCTGAATTAATCGGAAGGTATGCGGAAACGTGACGACATGCTTCCTCGAAACAGCTACTTTTCCACGTCAAGTCGCGGTATTCTATCGGTTAGTCCTCCGCCTTCTGTTCCTTGGCCTCGTCAAGGATGTTCGAGAAGAGTGCTGTCGACAGGTACCTGCATGATCCAGAAAGCGACCGGCCAACAACACAAGAGACGCGACGAAGGGAGGCCGGGGGGAGCCAATAACACGTGCGCGAATTGAACCAATTCGGTGAACCCTAGAAATAGCTTCAACCGCAGCCGACCCCTGCTACCTTCAAGTTATAGTAATGGCACATACCCTAGACTGATGTGCCTCAACAACCAAAAGAGGATGCAAACAGAAGAATAATAGTGTTGGAAAGAAGGTGGTGCCATCCTCTGAATTGTGCCGATGCCCGCTAGTGATAGCTCAGCACAGATCGGTGCTACCTAGGAAGGGTGCATCTTAAAGGCCGGTCGCCCGCATGAATTAGGTCGGTGTCTCACCGCTCGCCGAAGGAAGGGATGACGACGCAGATGGTCTTGCCCTTCATTTCCGGCTTCTTCGCCAGGTCCAGCGCGGCCTATGGACGGTGGCGTGCGGCGAGATAGAGAACGACGTGCAGCGCAATTAACAAAACCGTACCGGTACGTTTGTGCTCCATCTGTCCTACGATAGAACCTGCCGTACCACAAAGTAGCACACTCCTGCAGCTGTGCCATGGCACGAACATCTAACAAGGCAGTCAGTGTGCCTGCGCCATCTCGTGTGCTATGACGTCAACGTGCAGGCGCGAAGGGAAACGTCCCAGAAAAACTTACTCAGTTTCAAACCAAACAAGCGGCGTCGCAGTAACACGTCATGCTAGCGGCGGAAAACACTCCTGGATATCCTTCGGAATAAGACGTGCTGAAGTACCACCGTAGGGCAACAACCCTTCGTTTCGTTCGGAGATTTGACGACCATTAAAACACTGAGTGCTGCTGTGGTGGTATGATGATCATACTCACATTCGTGTCAACCAACGCGAGAAACGGCACGTATCGCAACGTCAACGTCAACGAGTGGGACAACCAGGAGTGCTCGTCACTTCTTCTATCGAAGAACGCCAACCGACGACAATGATACATGGTGCGTAGGGAGAGGGGCACGTAGAGCAACCCCCATGCAAATACAACCCCCGAAACCATAACACGGCCTACTATCTAACACCTGTTTGCCGGTCGTGAGTTGCGTGTGCTGTTGCTACGGAGGTACGGGTACCAAAGTTAAGGCAAATGCAAGCCGATTTTCGGCCAGATACTGAGCACGACCCCCTCTCACGCAAAACCCCCACCAAGAACAGATGCAACACACGCACAGCCTGTCGGAAAAAAAAAACACACACACACATAATAGGTTCGAGGGGGGGGGGGGGGGGGGGGG